AGATTGTTTCTTGCTGAAGGAATTCTGAAGCCACACATCTCTATGGAGAATCTCCCAATTAGTAGAGGAGAGTATTCTGGAAAAAGGACTCACTTTCTGGTCTTCATAGTGTCCTACTTCATCAGTGATGATTAAGTAATCATCGAGCACCTATTACAGTGGAACTTTGGACTTCACCATGTAATTTGTGAACAACTTAGGGATTTATGCCTATTGACAGCCTATTCCAGATTGCTATTAAAATGAAGACAGAGCCCAAACAAGGATTGTTTCTACTGGAGCAAAAAGCGCTTTTGCTGAATACTTTTTTCCCTGTATTTTAACATTAGGACATTGTGTTGGCTCTTCAATAGAAATGGCAAATGAAATGACACCTGTGATGTGCCCAGAGCACACCGTGGTGCAGGTCTGTCTGTGCAGTGCCTGGGTGCAGGGCCATCAGCTTCCTGCTGCAGCTGATGGGAAGGTCCTCCTGAAGCCGTGCACTGCTCTCCATCCTCCAAAGCCTGCATCCGTTTCCAGAAGTGCATCCAGCCAGCAGAACAAGCAGCCCATGTAACTTTTTTGCCTTTTTGACAGTTTTATAACCTTAAATTTGCACCTTATGGAAAACTGTGACTCTTAATGATGAATTACCATGTTGGAATTTTTCTTATGATGTCTTAATATTCGAGGTTGTAGCAGACCTCAGCAGAGAGGAAAAATAAAAACCTGCAGCAAAATGCTCCCAGAACAACTTGACTAGGCAAGTATCGCCCAGCCCGGCGCTATCCAAAATTCGTGGTTATATTTAGTGCTGTTTTTTTAAAGCTGTCATGCTCTTTACTAGGTGGCGAGCACAAATCCAAAACCAGCTTGAAAGGAAGCTATGAAACAATTTCTCATGGATGCATTCTTCAATCACTTTTAGTAAGAAACTCGCTTCCCATAGTGCAAACCAGATGCTGGTTGGTAACCACAGCAGGCAGGAGCTCTTCATTAAATGCTTCTGTTGCTGCACTCCAAGAATGCCTCATACAGTGCTAATGGGAAAAAAAAATAATTCTATTATTTTATAGGGTCAGCTTCCAGCTTACTTCCCTTGTTTTATCTTGTGTCGGAGTGCCTCCAGCAGTGACGGAGCTGAGTACCAGATTGGAGCTGCTCACGCTGCCATGGAGCAGCAGGGTAGACCTGGCTTCCTGGGGAAGGTGCCCAGAGCTGGGTCTGTCCCACATCCCGTTTTGATAGATGCTCCAATTCTGATTGGAAGTGTTTCTCCCCACTCTGCTCATCCTGCACCAGCAGAGCCCGCTGTCCCATCCAGCACAACTCATCTGGAGATAGTGCTGGGGCTGGACTTCAGCACGATGTGGGCTATAAAAGCACTTTTAATGAGCAGGACGGAGCTGGTTAGTGAAATGCTTGGACCGTTAATAGACGTAGGACTTTTTTAACGTGCTGTTTGACTTTATTGATGAAATGAGCTAATCGGAGCGAGCGCTGCGTGAGCGCTGAGTGAAGAAATCCAGGCGTGCTCTGCAGTAACAATTCTCTGGTTTTGCACAGCGCTGTTGTTGTCGTGTGGATGGATCCTAAAGCATGACCCAGAGCCATGCAGAGCTCTGTGGGGTCTGTGGATGCTGCAGGGCTCTCGCTGCCCCATCCTGGCTGGGCCCTGGGGTTTGAACCTCCTGCACCCCGCTCTGCAGAAAATTCCACGGTCTCCTTTATGACCATAAGTAATCAGGAACTCGGGTTTGCATCCTGTTTCAGTGTCCGCACAAGGCCCCATAATTATATGCTCGTACGGTTTTCTCAGCACTGAATCAGGGCCAGATCATGATCTCATGCTGGTGCAAACCAGCGGGTTCTTCCATGCAGGAACTCTGTCCAAGACCTGAAGGACTCAGCTTCACCCCTTGGAGAGCCCTCCTTCCTCCCAGCAGAACCTGCCAGTCAAGTCAGCTTTCTGGAGCAAATTAGAGTAAAATCAGGAAGGAATTAGCTGAGATGGGTCCTCTGCCTGTAGGATGCTGCTGGAACACTGGCTGGGGTTTGCTGCTTGTTGTTGCTCTTTGCCCTTTAGTGAGAGGAGGTCCTGACAGGCTTCTGCCATTGGGTATCTTTGACAGCTTCCCCCTTTAGGAAGTAACTTTACCATCAGGGATGGAAAGATGTTGGTAATTCAGAGCAGAGTAGCAAAAAATTTCCTCCTTCTGTAAAATTATTCTTTCATTTTATATTGTTCCAACACTCTGCATAAACACTCCTTCGGCAGTGATTTAGCCTGTAATGTATTAACAGGGAGTTCTGTAGCCTGCAGCGAAAGAGGCGATGGATGGAGCAACGCTGAGAGGTATTTTACATAAGAAAGCTGCGGAGCAGAATAAATGTGTCAAAGTCAGAAATTCAGAGGCATCCCAACTCCACAGGTCAGGATGGGAGGCAGGTTGTGTTTCAGACCCAAAGCAAGCAACCAATCCCAAATTCACACACAGTTCTTTGGCAATTGAGTTAAACGTATAAAATTTCCTAGAACAGAAAAGCAAACTTGTCCAAGTCCTCGCGCTTTACTGTTGATAAAAGACACTTGTTTAACTTAACTCTTCAGCACTGGGCTTCCCTCCTGTGCCCCAGTCTTGGAGGGGCCGTGTGCTGAGCTCAGGGTACGTTCTGCTGCGAGGCTGTTGGGAAGGGCCATATGCAAGAACACCATCACTCCTCTTGCACTTTCTTGCCTCTCTTTAAAATACTTTCCCCTGAAAGTCTGGAAGTTGTGCTTCTTCCTAGAAACGCTCCGCCCTCGGATGCCATCAGCGGTGGGAACTGCAGTAGGTGGTTCAAACGGCTGCAAATTAAAGTGCGTATGGGTTGAAGCATTCCTATTGCCTTGCACAGAGATGAAGAACAAATGTCACGTCTGTCGCACGAGTGGGAAGGTTTGGGTTCCCAATTGCTTTTGCACAATTCTGTTTGTAACTTCAGAGCAGGTGCTGAGTGGGGGCTGCAGAACCCTTACAGCACAATTTGGAATGCATCAAAATCTGCCCCGGCTCCCGGACAGGTTTTAGTCGGGATTGCTGCAGGGTTCCATTTGTGTGTATGTACTTAGTTTATTCATCAATATTTGCATTATACATTTATAAGTTCAGGAGAGAGCCAAACTGTTGAGTGGTTGTACACACTATAAATATTTGCCTCTTTTTTAGGCATAAATCTTGGTCTTTTTTATTCAGTTGTTTAAGGCCCAGTCTTGGCTGCTCAGAAAAATAAAAATCTCTGTGTGTATGAGTTATACATTGCACTGAATTCTAGCTAATTGCTCTGGCTCTAAATGAATTATTTGCATAATGCAGAGGGATCACTCACCAACTGGAGGTGCACGGCGTTTGTACAACTGTGCAAGGCATGGCTTGAGGTTTATTATTGTCGTATTTCTGTATTAAATGTGGTAATAATATGTGGGTTCCCTCCTGTCATCTTGTGGGAAGGAAACACACGGCCTTTGCCTATGAAGTCATGTTTGGGATAGCAAATTTGGGCTATTTCCTGACTCCACAGTATTCCCAGTGAGCTGAGGAGGTGTTTCTGCCCTTTTTGGCCGATGGAATTGTTGGCAGAGATGTCTGAGGGGTGCCCAGTGTCCTGAGGTTAGGTGTGCTCCCAGCAGGTAAGGGATGGAGAAAGAGAGAGCGTCTGTTTGGAGCTTAGGAAGTGCATTGAGGCTATTTGAGCCCTGTGTTTGGGAAGGAAAAAAAAAAAAAGCACGAACTCATAGATCTTGGTTGTCAGAATTGCTACGAGGAGGAAGTTGGAGGTGCTTGCAGTGAGAGCGCAGCCCACGCCGTGTCCTTGCTCAGGGTGATTCACTGGCTTTTCTCTGCTGGGAAAGCAGGAGCAGGTTGTGTTTAAAGAAGAAACAGAAATGCACGTGGGCTGTGCTTCGTAATGTGCATTAGGCTGAGATCATGTAATGCACAGCCTGTCCAAAAGTAAGCTGAAGGCAAGCCGCTGCTCTGTCTGATCTTACTGGCACTGCTCCCTTTGCTTCTTTTTCTCCTGGTCCTCCTGATATCTTTCTGAATTTCTCTGGGATTCACAAAACTGTTTTCTCTGCTGTGTAAAAGAGAGCAAGTGGACAGGTAATTATTTCCTTTGTATTTTTTCTGTGCTCTGCAAAGCAGAGATTAAATCCTCCTCCAAATAATGAGTTAAGAAGTTAACAAGAGATCAAATTAATAATAGGGAAAATTAAATGTTCTTGCTGTTGTCATTTATTGGGAATTTTTTGCCCATGCCTACAATAACTGTTGGGAAAAACTACATGTATAAGTATTTTTCAAACTGGAACCAGATGGGGAAATGATAGCCTGTTTTTCTTTGTGGGAGGCTGTGTTTTCACGGTACGCAAGTAACTGGAGGCACATGAAAACCAAATTTGCCTTTTGAGGCTTGTCCTCCCTTATCTCTTCCAGGAAGGACCGGCTTTCAGTGCTCTGAATTTCAGGCTGTTGTATGAGCAGGAAGTTGGCTGCTGGTGGAGCTGTGGGTTGAAGAGGAGCAGGTAGCTGTGGAGCTACAGTGTGCTCAACGAGAGATAGGGATGGGGACCAGCTGGTCCTGCTGCAGCAAATGCAGCTGGTTCAGGGAGCATGGTTCATCTTTGCTTCAGATCCTTCATAAAGCCATACAGCCTAGCTTTAACAACTAAGTTATTCTTGGTGACGTGCAAGTTCATTGAAGAGCAGTCTTAGATTTTGGGAAGTCCAGTGGCACGTCCAGAGGATAAAGGGGTCATCATTATCCTGACCTGCTGAACTGGTCCACCTATGTAGCAGAAATGCTAAGTCACAACCTGAAACAGTGATTGAGCACCTGATGGGAAGGCAGGGCCAACCCAGGGGAGCTCAGGTGCATGCAATGCAATGCACCTGAGTGACTGGGAGGGGTGCAGCCAGGATCCACCCCTTCCCAGACCTCATTTAAGGGTTGGCATTGAAGATGAGGGGATTTTGCTGGAGATCTCTACCTGCCTGAGGCCTTCAAAAGGTAAGCAGCTCTTTTCTTTCATTTCTGTGGCTGCTGCATTTGAGCTTATTCTTGTTTGCTGTAGCTGAAGACTTTGTCACCCCACTACTATTGTGGTACTTTTCAACCCATTATAGCTTTACAGGGTGTGACCCTGGGGACCTGCTGGGACCAAGGTACTGTGGTTCTGGATCCAACAGTGAGCTGGGCTTCTGGGAAGAGATTGGTTCATTCTGTTGCATTGCTATCCTGGGATAGCAGAAAAGGCTGGGTAGCTTCCTCTGTTAAAAATCATACTCTTTATGGGCACCTCACTTCTTGCTCTTCTGTGCCCGTTACTTAACAGCCCTCAACCATGTTTAGTGGCGTGCAGCTCGTTGTTCCTTCATACAGTCTACTACAGAGAATCTGAGCTTCTCATACCTACTGCATGTTTGTAACAATCTGTGATTTAAAAAATAAAAACCAGCCAAACAAAGAAGTCTAACCTGTAAAAAAGTTATGGGTGTAGGTGCCCATTTTCTGACAGAGGGGTTTGGTAACAGTGCAGGGGACAGAAATGTAAGGAATAATTGTTTTTGGGCCTAGAACCAGGAAAACTACTTTTCCAAATTAATCCAGTGAGAGCCATGAATCCACAGTATTTCATATCACACTTCATAAAACTCCAGTCATAATCCATAAAACTGACATTATTAGATTAAAAACCTCAGTTCCTCCTATAAGGAGCTCGCTCATTAGACATGCTGTAGTTTTATAACCTTAAAGTTCCTACCCAATTACCGTGATTAATACTGTGCTTTAATAAAAAATTTTTAAAAATCACCACAGGGGTTGATACCATCTGTTTGTTATAATTGCACATTTAAATATCTTCCAGCAAGAGAAGGACACTTGGTAAACAGGAATCAGAGCAGAACTGGGAGATGACAGCCTGTCCTCCACCTTCCCACCTCTCCGTAGAAATGAACCTGGCTTGGTGTGAGCATGATGCACAGTGCATATAGGCTGTAGTTACTGCACACATCAGCAGTGGAACAGCAGCACTGCTGTGCCCTGCAGCCCTGTGGCTCCTGAACATCTCCTGAAGCTGATGGAATGAATCCAGGGGAAGGCATGAAGATTCTTGGAGGCTGCAGCACCTCCACTGTGGAGCGAATAGAAGGCCCTGGGGAGACCTCACTGTGGACTTTTGGTATTCAGAAGGAGCTTAGAAACAAGTTGGAGAGTGACTTCTTGTATGATCTGATAGTGATAGGATGAGGGGGAATGGTTTTAAACTAAAAGAGTAGAGATTTAGGTCAGATGTTGAAGGGAAATTCTTCCCTCGGAGGCAGCAAGGCTGTGCTGCGCAGAGAAGTGTGGGTTTCCCATCCTAGGAGGTGCCCAATGCCATGGGTGGGCCCTGGGCAGCCTGAGCTGGTGGGGGGCAACCATCACACAATGGAGTGTTGGAAGTGGGTGGGCTCTAAGATCCCTTTCAACCCAACCATCCTTTGACTCATTCCATGATTCTATGATTGCCAGGGATTCAAGTGCTCGGTCTGTGGGGAAGTAAAATCTTGGGAAGCTTGGGGATGTGCCTCAAATTGGCCAGCACTGAGCATGCATGCTTTTTGTTTCCCTTCTTAGAGATCTTTGAACCATGTTACCACAAGTTGTGCTGCAGATAGACTCCAACGTTCCTGATAGCAAGCAGGAACCGACCCAGCTCTGCTTTGCTGCAGCAAGGAGGGCAGGGCACAGAGGCTAAGGATGTTTCATGGTGAAAACAAAGACTTTTGTAAGTGTGTACTGTTAGCCAAAGCAAGCACTGGTTGGAATCACAGATGATCTGCTGACCCTGGGGTACTACAGAAAGCAGTGGCTGCTGAGCAGAACTTCAGCCCTAATGTTGGCTGGACAGATCTCACAGCCACCACCTGCATCCTGCTATGGAACATTGGTGGGACAGCCAGCCCTCCTTGTTGTGAATAACTGTTTTCCTGGTCATCAGCTTCCGAGCAGGGGTGCCGTTGGAATTTATTTGCACAGAGCACTGGGAGTCACTGTGTACCCCCTCAGGCAGGGGTAGCATTACTGTGCCTTCTGGCTCATGGCTGGGAGAGCTGCAGCTAAAAATGTGTCGGGTTCGTGGTTCCACCCACAAACCAGAAATCACCAAACCTGTATTATTTTTGAATCCCCTGCTTTTGAGGGCTGGTGGAAATAAGATATCTTGCTTCTGACTTCCAAGCAATAAAGAGGTGAATCACTACTGAGCAAAGCCTCTGCTGGACCACCCAGTCGCTCTGTGCAAAGCTGTAAAGCGATCCTCAGCAGAAGTGGCAAAGTGGAGACCGATTTTCTTGATATTACTGTGATTGTGTGAGGCAAATCAAATGGGAAATAAAGCATCGGGGCTCGCTAACAAAGTGGCTAACTGAGAAGTGTGCTAATGAATGCAGGCTGATTAACATGCATTGAACTGAAAGCTAAACTGCGTACGGGTCACAGGGGGAACGCAGAGCTTATTTACTCTTCTGAGTACAACATGTTATGTTCAAGACCCAACATGTGCGGGTAATTCAGATTTAAATGCTTTCTTCCTCCTCGTAGTCCTGGATAATTATCCAACTCAGGATAAATAAGTTAATTTATTTTTGTTTTTACTAAATAATGGTCGGGGCTTTTGTTACTGCAATTGGTCAGATCTCTTTGTTTTTTTTTCTTTTTTTCTTTTTTTTAAGGATTATGTAGACCTGCTGCTGCATATTCTTGCCAGAGCCTTGGAAAACTGTAACTTGCAAGTCACTGTGTTGGGTTTTTTTTTAAGTGCCAATCTCAAAGGGACATAAATGATATGGTTTTTAACATTTATTTGTTGTCATTTTTATTAGTTTTTGTACATATTTTTAATACAATGCAAGCTGAAAGTCTTCAGGCCAGAACTGAGCGTGTTAGTGATGTTTGGATTGTAGAATTGTATGGTGGGTGGCCACCTCTTATTTTCAAACATAGGGCCCCAACAGGACACCAAGTACACAAAAATGAGCCTCTTTCAGGGGAGGACTGGGCACGTTGGGCAAGTGCCTTCAAGGATAAACCATAGGGGATTAGCATTTGGGCATGTAGGTATTTTGGGGTGACTTGTAATTAAGGCATTGCATTTGTAATTGGGAGATTTTGGTCCTATTTTGGGCTCTGCTGCAAGAGTCCTTAGGTGATCTTGACTGAGTTTCTGTAAGGTGATGTCCCCAGAGAGACTTGTTGAAATTAGGTGCTGAAATTCTTCCCTTCACTGCCTGTTACACAGCTGTTTTAAATTTTAATTTTATTTGCCCTGTAGTCTTAGATTTAGATTTCTTCAGAACAGGAACTGTGTCTTACCACGGGGCCTAGCAAATCCAAACTGTGTTGGTCCATGTTGCAGTAGAGCCTCTTCATGTTATATGAGTGTAACAAAATCCTGATAACAAGCCCTGGGTAATCCATAAAGGCTGTGGAGCTCCCACGGAGCCCTTGCTCCCCATGAGTCCCAGAAGAGCTCTGTTCAGAAGGAGATGCCTCGCTCAGAGCCAAGGGCAGTTGGAAGGAATGTGCATAAAACACATTGCAGCCTTCATGGTATCTCCCAGGGTTCAGCCAAGGAGCCACCACTTGGGTTGTAGCTTTTTGGTGGTGTTCGTCGTGGGGTTTTGTGTATGTTAAGAAGGCAGACTCAAAGGAGTGCTTCATGGGGGAAATGGGAAGTTTCTGATGGTCTCCAGCTCACCAGCAGTCATCTGATGTTTCCCTTGAGTCTCCAGCTGCCTACAGTTCACAGAATCATAGAATTGTTTGAGTTGGAAGGGACCTTTAAAGGTCATCCAGTCCAACTCCCATTTGGGTCCGCTTTTCTTTGGGTCAGATCATTGGGTCACCTCACTGGGTCTCCTCTGCAGGGTATCCATGTGTCCACAGTGCTCAGAATTCCCCCAAAGCTCCATCACTTCTTCACTGGTAGGAGATTGAGGGCAGGCAGTGGTGACCCCAATTTGGCAGCAGCATGGTCCCCACTGCTGGGGCATCGTTGTTCCTGCTGTCTTGAGAAGTCTTCCTTGACTACATGCACTAAAAATCATGAGTGAACAGTTCATGGGAGGATAAAGCTCAGCTGTGTAATGGAGAAGTGTTCTTTAAAGAGAATGATCATGGTACCAATCAGAGTTACAGCTTTCAGCCCAGCTGGAAGGTGGGAGGTTCTCATTAGTTGCTGTGAAGTCTGCAAACTCAATGGCTTTATTACATCAGAGCATTATTTTTCAATATGTAATGCATGAAGTCAGCTTTGTCTTTTTTTTTTTTTTGTGGGTAAGATGATGGGACTTTCTTCTTTCTTATTTTTTCCTTTTTGTTTTAATATGTCTGAAGAGCAGCTAGTTAATTAGCAGAGCCAGGGCTAAATTCTAAGTAATGTGACTTATGGGACAGGAATCCAGATAGTTCTCAAAACTGAAATAGTCCTGAGCAGTCATCAGCTTCTTTTCCTGTCTCTATGTGTGGGTTCCCATACTCTGCTGTACACCAGCACCCTGCATTATTACTTGCAGCACATTCCTACTCGATGGCAAGGCAGTCAGACTCTGGCAAGGAAAGGATTGGACTGGTGGCTGTTGTGCTGGCAAAGAGTTTTGGATCAGCTCTCAGCATCTTCATGGGACTGGTTGCTGGCTGTAGGAACTCAGTGGGGCAGATAGAATGGAACATGACATGTAGGGCAGCACACCCTCTGATAAGGAGCAAAAATCTCTGCGCTGTGCTTGGGGAAATTGCTTGTGCTTACAGAGACTTGTGTGCATGGTTTGCTTGCAGTAGGAACTGGGTGCTGCAGAGGAGAACCAGCAGTTGTTCTGTGTGCTTGGTTTATGGGGCTGCAATGAAAGGCTCTGTGGAGCTTGGGGTGTACCTTGAGCAGAGGTGCAGCTGCATCTTCACTGCAGCTCATGGATGGAAATGGCAAGGAAGTGACATCATGCAGCTGAGGGAAGGCTGCAAAATGAAGCCATATGCTGCGAAGATGTGATTCATGGCCAAGGCCAAATGGGCTGTGCCCAAACACCACTGCTGTGCACTCATTAGGACTTGCTGGAGAACTAGGGTGCAAGAAGGTTCCTTCTGTTTTTCAAGGCATTGTAATAGCAAGAAGAAGTAATGTGTACCTACAAAAGGTCTTTTTTCCAGTGTACACAAATATTTACAGAGACTCCTCCAGAGGCTCACACATTTTTCCACTTTCTATTCCTCACACATGAAGAAAGTTCTCATAAATGGGCAATAAAAGCTAAAATTAAAGACGCCTCTTTAAAAAAAAAAAAAAAAAAAAGCATGGTTCTATATTTAAAGCTGCTCTTTAATTAGAAAGTCCAATATTTCCTTTTGAAGGGTTTCAGAAACATTGATTTCATGGATACGTGGACATCATGGGGATGATGAATGAGCCCTTGTTGCTGTGTGGGGTTGGGAGCAGGAGGAGTTCTGCTTTCTCCTTGAGGCATGGCATGGTGAGACCTGTCTGGGTCACCTGTCCCAAAGCTGCGTGATGAGCAGGGGGTCTTGTGCCACTTTCCCATTGCGGTACACTTGCACTTGAGTTCCCCTGGTAGAGGAGCACCAGCTCAGCCAAGGGGAGAGCTTTGGGTGCTGCTGTGTGTTTAGGGCTGCTCAGACCAGGCTGGACTGAGGACCAGAGCCACTCCAAGCGTTTCTAAAGCTGTTTTTAAGGGAGTTGCATTCAACAAATCCTCAAAGAGGTGGGAGCTATTGAGGCGTCCTCCAAACTCTACAGCACCTTCTGCTTCCTTCTTTCCACGTTAGGTGCTGCTGATCATCAGTGGGAACCTGAGCTTCCTCAACTGGCTGACCATCGTGCCCAGCATCGCCTGCTTTGATGACCGCAGCCTGGCCTTCCTGTTCAGCTCTGGGCGTGGGGGGGTGAAGGAGTGTGTGCTGCAGCTGCAGGGCAGCAGTGAGAAACCCCCCGTCGGGCTAGGTGAGTTCTTCCGGGGAGGAGGGAAGTGGCAAAGAGGTGTGTTCAGCTCAAAGGCTTTCTATCCTCTCTTTCTGGAACAAACGTGAGTGGACGAGGAGAAAATTCTGCCCCCTACGCGGTTCCCTCTGGGGTGTGAATATTATCTGAACGTTGCACTCCTGACGGATGTGTGCAAAGCCAGCAGCTGGTTTGTAAATCTGTGCTGTGTCGGTGCCACTAGAGGGCATGTCCCAGTGCAGGTACAGTGCTGCCTGCATAGGGAGCACAGCTGGGTTCCTGGCTTTGTGCTCACCAGCCAGCATCAGGCTCCAACTTGAAATGAGTACTGTAAAATTGCACCATTTTACTTGTGATCTGTTTTATTTTATTTTGACTATTTAAAGTCAAAGATGAAACACCCAGTGCAGTTTTGGGGCAAGGAGCCCATGGGCATGGGAGCATAAGTAACTGAGGATGGGGCTGGACTTCCAGGAAGAGCAGAACTGATCATTGATTTACTGAGGGGCCAGCAGTTCTTCCACGGGCTGAAAAGAGAGTTCAACATCCTGCTTGGGAAAGGAGAGCGGAGCAGCTGCTCCTGGCTATGCCTACAGGGAGGGAATTGTCCCAGAGCATCCCAGATTCCCCAGAAGTAGGATGGAGGCAAACTCCTGTTCATACCAGGAACACAAGAAAGCAAATACGAGGGGGTTTGTAGCTTACCAACAGGGATTCGTGTTGCTGTGATGTTTCCCTCTGGAGGGAGTTTTCAAACAGCCTGGCTCCAGGAGGTGCACAAGCAGCACTGGGGTATTTTTCATGGGGCTGTGTAACAGATGTACAGTTTTATTTGTAGTGTTTTTGTAAACTGCTTACTAGCGACAAATTGCCTGTAATATCAACAACAATCACAGATGCTCATTTTTAAATACACTGAACATCTGTCAGAGGAGTGAAAAATGTCAACAAGACAAAGCATCTGTCTCTAGTCCTTTCTCCCGTACCAAGAAATGCAGCTTATTGGCCAGAGGCAATGCTTCCCACAAGGCTGATGTAGCTTCATTAAGTGTTCTGTGTGCTATATTACGTATTTGGTTGGGATTGGATTGTAAATGTGTCCCTGTGCTGGAATTTAAAACAAACAAAAAATTGGGGAGGAATTTTAAAGTAATATGGATAAATATTCAGTGTGAATTTGGTTTTCTGCATGTTTTTCTGCAAACAAAGCAGAGGCTGTTGAGCTGGCACTGATGGGCTGTGTGGCAAGAGGCTTAGAGGAACTCTCACCCCTGGGTCACAAGAGCAGAAGACAGGAGGGTGTCCCACTTGTGACCTGGTTTAACAGGATCTGACCGCATCCTCATGTGCGTATTTCCCACTGGGAGCTCCAATTCCCACCACCAGTGCTTGGCTCCCGTCTGCTCATCCAGACCCCGTTGGCTCATGGCCTTTCCCAAGTCTTGCTCCATCCTCGCTGTATTCTCCAGTAGTAAGCCCTTCTCCTTCTGTGACAACGTTGCTGTCACCCCATAGGTACGGTGACAATTGCAGCATCAGGACTGAGAAGGGCAGGATCCTGTGAGTCCTTTAACTGCAGGAGGTGGAGGACAAGCAGTGCGTAGGGCCAAAAACTGACTCGTGGAGCTGGGTTGCAGTTAAGGGATCGTGCAGTGCTCTGGGGCTGAGCCTGATCCTTGCTTGCAGCTATAGAGTTCACTGAAGAGACAAAATGCTGCCCAAGCACCCCACAGTGGAGCAGAGTGATGGGGGGAGGCATCTTGGCGAGCTCCTTTCCAAATCCAGTGCTGCTCCAGAAATGTTCTCAGACTAAACAATTATTAATAGCTTCTGAGAGGGGTTCAAATAAACATCCCTCTCCTGCAGAGATAAGGGGAAAGCTGCATGCTATTGCTTTGAATCTGATCCGTTGGCTGTTAATGTTAAACAAATTAAAAACGGCCATAAACATAGGAGCTCTTCAGAGGTCACCGCTGCTTATTTGTCTGGTTGCAGCAGGTTTCTCCCTAACTCCAAATGCCACGTGAATGCAGCACAGCCAACAGAGCACTGCTCCTGCATTAATGATAAGGGGTAGGGAACTGCATAGGGAGGAGAGAATGAGGACAGAGAGGGAAAGGTAGAAACGAGCCTGGGTGGTGGGAGCTAGGTACAGCCCAGGAGATGATGCTGAGCAAGGTGCAGGTGCCAGCTGTGTTCTTTCCCCACTTCCAAGACAATGATTAATCTCACATTTTAGACATTTTTCTTTTTAGCCCTTTCTCAGACTATTTAGAGAAAGGCAGATCTGCTCAGCGATAGCGGCTGGCAGCAGCACCGGCTGTTTGCTCCTGGCTGCGGGGCAGAGCTGGCTGTGGGCAGCGCTCACATCCCTCTGCTCTGCTCTCATGTCCCCCCAGGATGCCACATCCGCAGGGTGGTGAACATCTCCTTTGGGCTCCTGATCGCCTACCTCAGCGTGCCTGTCGTCATCAACCTGCTCAGCTCCAGACAGGTTATGAATACGTCCTTCAACCCCCTCAGGATAGTCAACACCTACGGAGCTTTTGGAAGGTATTGCATTTTAATGGCACACTGCAGAATCACAGAATCATAGGGTCATCAGTCCAACTCCTCCCTAAGGCAAGTTCCCTGGAGCACATTGCAATGGGACACGTCCAGGTGGGTTTTGAATATCTGCGGAGAAGGAAACTCCACCTCCTTCCTGGGTAGCTTGTTCCAGGGCTCTGTCACCCTCACAGTAAAGAAACTTCTCTTAGAGCTTCCTGCGTTCATTTGTGATGCTTGTCCTGTAGCTGGGCACCACCAAAAAGTGCCTGGCCCCATTCACTTGACTCCCACCTTTTAGATATTTAATAGAATCGTTATAAAATGATTGAAAAAGGTCTCTAAGATCAAGTTCAACCATCAACACATCCGCACCGTGCCCAATCATGTCCTTGCTTATAAGGCCACTCCTCATATTACTAAGCATTGACGAGATCCCTCTCTTCCCCAGGTTAAACAGCCCTGGTTCTCTCAGCCTTTCCCCTTCAGGAGGTGCTGCAGGCCCCCACCATCTCTGTAGACCTCTTGGTTCTCTCCAACAGTTCCCTGTCTGCTTCGGACAGGGGAGCCCAGCACTGGGTGCAGTGCGCCAGTTTTGGCCTCCCCAGGGCAAAGCAGAGGGGATGAGAACCTCCCTCACCTGCTGGCTTCACTGTGCAATGCCCCCCAGGGTCCCATTGGCCTTCTTGGCCAGCAGGGCACACTTCTGGCTCACAGTCACCTGTTGGCCACCCGGACTCCCAGGTCCTTCTCATAGAGCTTCCTTCCAGCAGGGTCGTATAGCTCTCCACTGTCAGCAGCAAGAAGTGTGGTCCAATAGCCTTAAATCCAAACAGGAATCTTTCCAGTAGCCGTAGACTTGGAATATCTGTTTATGAGAGAGAAAGAGAAGAAGGAGCAGGTTTCTTTCCCACTGAATTATAATTTGTTTTCTTTGAGCTACTTTTAGTGAGCTCATTATACTGATGGAGCAGATGTAATAGCAGGATGAAAATATCCATAAGAGAGTTCATCCAGTGGATATTCCTCACCATCACCAGCCCACTTTATTTATGGTGAACTCCTCTTCCCGTGCGCATGTTCGCTGTCCCTCATGTAAATATTCACATAAGCTGTTGGGTAGCAGATTTAAGGCCAACAAAAGGAAGTGCTTTTTCCAACGAGTGACTTGGGGAATTCATTGCTACAGGAAACTGCAGAGACGAAAGTATAAATGGGCTCAAAGAAAAAAAAAAAAAAGAGCAAGACAGATGGAGAGGACAGGCTCAGCAGTCTGGCTGCTGCCGTCAGCTCAGGAAATCCACTGAGGGCTGCGAGATGGGGCTGGACAGGGGAAGCACCTCCACCTGCATTAGGAACCTGAGTCTGGGTTTTGGGGCACAGGCCAGCAAGCTTAGGCAACCTGCAGTCCATGGTGAGTGCTGTCCCACTGCCTCTCCTTGATCAAAACACCTGTGAAAATGCTGAGAAACACCTCGTGCTTATGGGGAACTAGCCAACAGAGTTAGGCAACCTTGTCCTGAAAGCTTGCAGCTGGGGAACACAAGGCAAAGGGCATCAAGGTGGAATGAGCAGAGTGGCTTATGTGCCACCACAGAGGTGACAACAGAGCCAGTTCTTTCTGCATGCATCTTGGGTTTGGCTGTGCTGCTGCCTCCCTTCCCCAGGGGATGCTCTGGGTTGGTGGGCTGTGAGCAGGTCTTGTAGGAGGAGCAGCAGTAATTAGGCTTTTATGAGAGCATCAGGCTGGGAGGAGCAGAGCCTCCTGTGAGCTCTGGAGGTGCAGAGCACACCTGCAGGACATCACATGGATAGGCTGTTGTCTCTGATGTTTTGAACTGCAGATATTATAGGAAAAATAACAAACTTAGAGGGGGAAAAAAAAAAAAAACATAATTAAAAATACCAGTGCTAAAAGGTTATGGAAAACACTGAAGTTTCTCCATTTTTTCAGGGAGAAAGAAATAACCCCTGAGCCTCTTTGAAGGCTGGAGCGGTGAAGCTACGGGAGATTGTTTTCTTTGGGTTGTTGTTCGTTTTCTTCTTCAGTCTATGGTTTCTGCTTCAGCAGTTACCAGAACCTAAAGAGCATGTGATGAAATGCTGCTGTAATATGTTTGTAATTCCAGCCTATGTAAACCAATAAAAAGAGGATTGCAGCTTATAATGAATATACGATTATGTGAAACTTGACATATTTTGAATCACACAGTAGGAACATACTTTTATTAGTAATTTGGTGTCCCTGATTTACAGTGTGTTTCTAACCATTGGGCAGCTGGCCACAGCTCATAACTCAGCCCAGTGTACAATATGGAACTTGGCTGGAGAATCCAGAAATCTATTAAACGGAGGTAACAATTATAAGCTGAGATGCGCAGCATTCTGTGGGCTGGAGGCATCTATCACTGGAAAACATCAAGGGAGAAGGTGGTGTCTGTGTGTTTCCAGAGTTTCAGTTTTAGGGCTGAGGGCTTTCTCCTCAGTAGGAGGAAGGACCAAAGGAGTGAAAGATGAAAGGGTGTCAGGAGCTGCATGGTTTGGATAAGGGAGAGTTATGTGTTTGTGAGGAAAATCAGCTCTTCTGCGTAGATGGAGCATCACTGCCAGCTCATTGGAAACTCAACAGTCATGTTTTCACATGGGCTTAGCGTGGCCTGGACAGTTTGCTATCTGCACTGTCCTACACCTTGCTGTGCAGAGAAAGTCAAACCCAGCAGCAGAGGGAATGCATGTGACCTGCCATGAGGTTGAGTGCTTTTTAGTGCAGATTCAAAATGTCTACTGTGTTTCAGGGGCGTTTTTTTTTTCCTTTCTGCTTTCCTTGGCTTGATTTGCAGCAGTTCATACAGTACCTCCTTCTCTTGCTGAGGAATAGCTCTGTGAAACCTCTCTTGTGACCAGGAAGGAGCATAGGGACTGGTGGTGGTGGTGCCCTAAGAGCCAGCTGCTGAGCACACTGCAGAAGTGAAGGCTCTGGGGAGACCTGCTAGCAGCCTTCCAGTATCTGAAGGGGGCTGTAAGAAAGAAGAGGACAGACTCTTCAGCAGGGTCTGTTGTGACAGGACGAGGGGAAATGGTTTAAAACTAAATGAGGGGAGATTTATACTGGATATAAGGAAGAAGCTCTATGCTAATGGCAGTTGAGGGATGGCACAGGGTGCCCAGAGAGGTGGCAGTGCCCCATCCCTGCACACACCTGTGATCAGGCTGGAGGGGGCTCTGAGCACGGATGTGGGTGTCCCTGCCCAGTGCAGGGAGTGGGACCAGATGGCCTTAAGTTGGTCCCTTCCAACTCAAACCGTTCTATGATTCTATGCCAAAGAGAGAAGTTGGCCCACAAAGAGAACGAAAGTCATAGAATCACGGGATCACTGGGACTGGAAAGGACCTGTAAGATCACCAAGTCCAACCCCAAGCCATCACCACCACACCCACTAAACAACGTCCCTAAGTGCTACATCTACCCTTGACTTGAGACAGATAACAGACCTGATGTTGTGTTCTGCAGCATCACCAAGGAGAGAACCGAAGTCATCCTCCAGGGAACATCCAGCCCAGACCCCAATGACCCCGCTGCTGTCTGGCAGGAGTTTGATTTCAAGTGCAAGCCTGGGGACCTGTGGAGACGGCCGTGCTTCATCTCACCCTACCATTACCGCCTGGACTGGCTGATGTGGTTTGCGGCCTTCCAGGTACGTGCATCCCCTGGACCAGGGAAAGCAATCCATGTGAATTTACAATGTGCGTGGGGCAGAGGGTGGATATTTGAAGCCTCAGTTAACTTAATTACGTTTTTAAAAAAAAATTGTATTCCTAAAGGATGTCTGCTGCTGTGAGGCTTTTTAATTGTTTCTCAGCAATAACAAGAGTTAAAGAGATGGAGGTAGTGCCTATCCCTGAATTGGTGGTGCAGTGGGCAGCCATTGCTCTCTGTTCTGCATAGGGACATGGCATCCTCAGCTGGCACCCATAGACAGGTAAATGGGTCTCCATTAAGGAAGAGAAGAGGGGAATTATTGTAAATTAATTTGTTAACGTCCAATAGCCTTTTCTGCAAAATGGCATGGCCAGGAGAATGTAGAGTAGTGTTACAAAGTTGGGGCTCACGGCAGTGGTGGGAGCAGCCCCATTTCTCCCCTTGTTTTCACGTTCCTTCCTGGCGTCCTTCCTCTTTCTCTCCCCCTGCCCCAAACTTCACTGTTTTTTCTTTGTGGTATTTTCATTTAGATGCCTCTTAAATTCCTCAGTGATGACATAACCATCGCTCTTTGGCTATGGTTTTATATTTACCCTGCTAGTTTTTTTGTGTGCTGGAATTTCATTTAATCTGCATTAGGTATGCTTATCCGACAGCAAAGGTTAAAGCTCTGGCCAGCAGCGTTGCTCAGCACTAAATGACGGTGCAGAAGTTGGAGCTGTTGGTTTAAAGCTTCCTGCTTTTCAAGAGGGCTCCGGCATGGAATCACAGCATGGTTGGGTTGGAAGGGACCTCCCAGCCCTCCCAGCCCCACCCCGTGCCATGGGCTGGATGCCCCCACCAGATTAGAATGCCCACGGCCTGAGGAGCCCAAATAAGCACAAGGCACTGATACTACAGCATCATGGCAAGTGCTGCTGTGCTGGTGCTGAGAGACATTGCCATGCACCAGCCCTGTCTGTCGGCGGGCAGCGGCTGTGCACTGAGTGACAGTGATGTATGGGGCAGCCTGGGGACGAGCAGGAAGAGGAAATAACACAGCCTCATTTGCATCTTTATGATTATTTTTTTAATGCACCAGGAGGTTCCCTGAAGTGCACCTATCAGCCTGGGGGCTGTTGGGCCGTGCACATGCGAAGGCGTCTGTCCGCACCAGCTGATTAGCAGTAATTAGTGCTCGTGCACAGGAGATGTGCTGTCTCCTCCTGCTGCGAGGTTGCCACGAGGCCACAGATCCTTTCTATAGCAAGATGTGGGTGTTCACACGGCCTCCCACTGCAGCTTGGTAAAGAATTTCCCCCTAATATCTAATCTAAATCTCCCCTCTTTTAGTTTAAAGCCATACCCTCTTGTCCTGTTACTATCTGCCCGTGTAAAAAGTCGCTCTCCTCCTGTTTATAAGCTCTCCTCAAGTACTTTAAGGCTGCCTGAGGTGTCCCTGGAGTCTCCAGGCTGAACACCCCTGGCTCCCCACCTGTTTCAATAGGAGAGGTGCCACAGCCTATGAGTGTCCTCATGCCCTCCTCTGGACCCCGTCTGTCAGCTCCACAATTCTCTGTGCCAGGGACCCCAAGGCTGGACAAGGGCAGAGCAGAGTAGGGGGACAGTTCTCTCCCTGCCCCACTGCCACCCCTTGCTGATGCAGCCCAGGATTCTGTTGGCTGCCCCTTTTCTCACTGCTCAGATTGAGTCTGGTAAGGCAGTGGGAAGGATGAGGAACCAGAAGCCAAAAGCCCAGCAGAAGTTTGTGCAGTCGGGTGAGTTCCACAAAGCCCATACAGTAGTTTATGGAGTCCATAAAACCAAGTTCCTTCAGCCTCTGGATTAGGTTTAATTTGTTTTCAGAAGTTCTGGATTTTTTCACCCCGCTGTTTGCCGCCGTCGCGGGGTTGGTGCTGGAGGCAGCCGCTTAAGGACCTGCCATATCCCGTTCTGACAGGCTGCAGAAAAGTCCAAGGAGTTTGGGGGAAGGTATTTACCATCCCTTTGTGCTGCTCCTGACAGGTTCCTCTTTGCACCTCATCACCGCTTGACATACGACGCCGTCCTCCTGCACAGCTCCCACCTTGGCTGTAACTGCAGGACGTGCTGTGAGCCCACTATGGGGGAGCCAGGGAGAGCCAATGCTGCCCTGCACTGAGCTGCAATTAGCAGTTGGCTGCTAATTACCAGAGTGCCTTAATTATAAGTAATGTAACGTGGCATTATTTTCCAGGAAGCAATGTTTGTGATGTTAATTTTATTACTCAAATACAGTATGCCGTTTACAATTGAGGAAGAGGTCTAAAAGCCCCCATTGGTGCTGCAGGTCTGGGTCTGAGCAGATAGAAGTGAAAAGCCCCCCTCCTGAGCCGAGCATCCTAATTTGGGAAGGATGCAGCCAGTTGGCACGGGTGCAACAGAGGGGCCTACAGAATCTTGGGTCCACAGCAACCATGAGAATAGCTCTGCATGCTCTGGGAGCAGGAGGAAAGGCAGCAGAGCAGGTTTGGGATGTAGGAAAACCTACCGCAAAGTGGAAAGTAACAATCTGTTTTCTGGGTCCCTGTGGAGAAGGGAGGAAATAATGGGCTAAATGGCAGAATATGATTTAATCTCGGGAAAATTCAGGTTAAGCGGTAGGAAAAAAGTTTCCAACAGGAAGATAATGCAATGGCAGAATCTGCAACTGGTTGTTTTAATGCAGAGATCTCGATTTTGCTGGAAAGAGATTGTTTAAGCATTGTGTGCCCTCCAGCTGATGGCACCGCTCCTGTAATCATCTGACTTACGGTGGGTGTTCGTAGGGGCCCCATCACCACAACCCCAAATGGAGCCGTGCTGTGCTACTGGTACAGAAAGCACTGTGGGCAGATCTGCAGCAGCCTGTGGTGGGTTCAGCATCGGTCAGAAGTAACAACCAGAAAACAAAATACTTCAGTTGGTCACTTTTCCTGGTAGCAGGATGCCTCAGGCTTGGCAGAGGCACCTTGTTTGTAGAACAAGACGTGTTCTTCACCATTGGGCAGCAGTGGAAAGCCTTCAGTGCTCTGAATAATGAAAAATCAAAGGAAGGGATTCTTCTCTCCTTCCTGTGGCATGAAGGGTATTTCTTCTGTTTAGACTGTGTAAGCTTTCCATAGTGGGGTCTGCGTCTGGCCAGTGCAGAAACATGCTTGTGCTGCTCACCAGGTCGTAACCAGACAGAAAATAACAATCCCAGCACCATCTCAGCGCTGTTTGTTAAAGCTCAGTGTTCTGTTATACCTTGAAGTGACTCCAAAAGTATCCAGGTGTCGGGATGGTTTTGTGCAGAAGGTGTGCAGCTAAAATTCAGATCACTTTGTTTCATGTGTTCGTGAAGAAGTGAATTGGGAATTGTGTTACCTCGTGTTAACTGAGTACATGGCACCGGATGCCAGTGTGCCGTTCAGATTGCACATCACCGTGTCCTAAAAGCCCTCTGAAGTGGCATGTACTACCACTAAATGACAGCAATTGTGGGGCACCTAGGAGAAAGGTGTGTTTGCCAGATGTGATGGATGAGTTTATGGGTGCAACTCAGCTGACTCCCAAAGAGAGAACAGAAATGTGAGCAGCGGGACAGGGGAGCTGGGAAAGGAGGCTTCACCTTACTGCACGCACTGGGAGAGCTGAGAAAAAGAAACCCGATATGGAGAGAAGGGAGATGAATATTTTAATAAAATACTGTATTCCAACGTCTGTTACCTGGGTCGTCCAGCCAGGAGGTACAGGAAAACGCTGCATGGCAGCAACGTGCAGAAGGAGGTGTGTGCAGGACAGTAAAACCTAAAGCTCATGCGCAGTGCACTAGGCACAGCCTTTTACATTTCCTTTCCTTCCCCTCCTAAAAACACAGACTTCGATTCACTTCCATTTTCCATTGCCACATTCAGGTGGTTTGGTCTATGTGCAGAATGTAGGAGTTATATTTTCTTTGTTTGGCTGGGGTCGGTTGTCTTCCTCCGGGGACGCTTCTCTGGAGGGGAAAGCATCTTAAGGGGTGGCTCTTGGTAGGTTGGGGAAACTGCCCTCTTAAATGGTACAGTGAGAACAGTACTGCAGAGGAATGGTTTGCCTCTTTGGGGAACTCCTAGGAAGAGGGTGAGTTGATGGGAAGTGATGGAACCTGGCCTTGGGAGGTGAAGGGAAGTGGTGGGACATGGTGTAGCCTTTAGCCTTCCTTGGTTAATCCGCTTGGGTAGAAGGATGGCAGCAGACACTGAGATGGAGTTCTAAGAAAGCAAAGCCTTGTGTTGGTTGTGCTGTTCCTTCTGTGCAATATGGTTCATTCCTCTAGCTGATAGCTCAGCTTCTCCAAATAGTGAGTGCTGAGGTCATTCCTAAACATCAGTGTAAGCAGAAATATGAGTGTTGGGTGAAAACATCCCCAGTGGTGGAGTTACTGCTTTGCATCCACAATATGGGTAGGCTGTGGTGCCAGAAATACCCCTTACAACAGCATGGAAATGCAAACTCCCCCGCCATCCACCCAATGTGAGAACATGCAGAGCTCCCAACCATGCAAAATCATAATGCAGGGCTCCAATGCCAAGTTTCCAGCTGTTTCCACATGTGCATCTCAGAGTTACCTCCTCCTGTGCGCCTGTGCCAGGACTGAGATTCAATAAAATGCCACACTAATCCGCAGTCCTTTTCCATTAAATGACCAATTAAACCTGGAGGAAAAGGGTTCTTATTATTATTATTTCAGTTGGGAATGTGTTCCCTGTAGTGCTGCGTGTTGGGTTTTTTTAACATATTTTTTGTGATTATTTTATTCTCTTTCACATTATCTCTGCAGAATTTCGTTGCTGCTGCAGCTGCAGTAGTGGTGATTGGGCTTAAAGTCCTATAGGGTTATGAAATACATCTGTATGTAAATGAATGCTTTCAAGGTGAGAATTCTGTGTTTATACACTGGTAAAATGTGAAAACGGTGAAGCTGGAGAATAGAAAAGGTTACAGAGAAATATGGGTGCAGCATTGCTGCATGGTACTGGGGAGGCTGCAGCGATGCACACAGATGGGGACAAGGAGCAAATCCAGTCCCAATGATGTGTTCTGCCTAAAGCCTGGTTCAGGGAGCTGCTCTTCTCATGCCTTTTCATTGGGTTGATGCTGATGTTGTATGCTGGTCCCGGTGCCAATGTTCCTGTCCCAACAACAGCAGGAAAATGCCTGGGGGTGTGCTTTGCCCTTGGCTTTTCCACCTGAAGTGGCCAGGGATGCTGTAGGATTTCCACTTACAAAGATCCAAAACCAAAAGCTGGACCCACCATGCACACCTTAGTGTCGTTAAATACAAGAAGCACTTGGCTTCTTGTATTTAATGTTTTTGGTGGTTCAAGCTCTGACTCTTCCGTTTTTGCTCAGTGCCAGGTGAGTCCCTCCCATCCTAAATATCACAGATAGGTATGGCAGCTCAGCACAGAGTCTGCTCAGTCTGCTCCCAGTGGAGCCACAGAGAGGAACTGTCACCTCCACGATGCTGCCCTGGATGGAGCCCAAATCACCTGGGCTCTTTCTTTCCCCCTTCACCACCATATCACTTTACTGGGTAATGAGTAAAGCAGCACAGACGTGAGCACAGCCCCGCTGCTCCCAGTGCTCCCAGCATCACGCCATATCCAGGCCGTGGTGCCGGGGGAGCAGGGGGGGCCGCGCCGGGTGGAAATTTCTCACCGCAGACCTTGCTGGGGCCAGACATGCTGTAAATTTTATAAGAAAAACACTTTACAAACCAGAAGTCCAACTCTCGTGCGCATGGAGCCGCTAATTAATGGTTTGGAGACCGGGCAAGCCAAGGAGCCCATTCCGCCATCACCAACCCCTGTGGGTTTGCAGCAGGCTCTGAAGAATTGAGGTCCTCTGTGCAGCTCTGGCTTCTCACCCGCAGGTTCCTTGCACATCAGGCAGTGCCACTAGGAAACTTTCTACAAAGCTCTAGTCTGAAATATCTGAGGCTTTCCTCTTAGCTTGTGATGAGCACAGGTCACAAGCTCTGTGAGGTAGCACTGCTGCTTGATGGAGCTTCCCACCAGAATTCGGGGCTTTGCGTCTCCTTTCTCTGCCATTTCCCTTAGTAACGGAAATAACAAACTGCCATTATAAGAGATTTGCAGAGTAACTTTGCATTGATGTTCTGCAGTAGTCACACTCTTGCAGGTACAAATGCTGGGTTTAGCTTTCCCACAGTGTCCCCTACTGCTTGCATTAAAAAATCCAGTTAGGTGCACATTAAAAAAGGGAGAAAAAATGAGTATAAGGCACTGAAAGTCACCAGAAGGGGAAATGCTTTTTATGGAGCCTCACCAAAAATCCTTGCAGGGGGTGAGGAGCTTTCATTCATGGAGGGAGGTAAATATGGAATCAAAATTGGCAGCTCTATGTGGGCTGCAGCATTCTAGGGCTGATTTATTTGGTTTCAGTGGTAGCAGGAAAAAGGGCATGGCACAGATGTTGGAGGTAGTCTGGGTAGCTGAGAATCCAGGAATAGAGAATTCACTTTCTTCTATTATTTGTCTGCTAACACAACAGGGAAAGCAACGTATTTTGAAATGATGGATGAATTCTCAGTGGGTCTCAGCCTTGAGGTTTTGGACCCTGCACGGTCTGATCGTGCAGCACCAGCAAATCTCTCATTTGCCATTGCAACAACTATACTCCCTGCCCAGTGATCACATAGATGTGTTTAATTGTTTAATTAAAGCTAAAAGGTGCCTCACATCTGTATTTCATCCTCTTTCTCGCAGACATATGAGCAGAACGAGTGGATCATCCACCTGGCTGGGAAGCTGCTGGCTCAGGAGGAGGAGGCCCTGTCTCTGATAGCAACAAACCCATTTGCGGACAGGGATCCCCCACGGTAAGTGCTTGGGGCAAGCTTCTTGGTAGAAAGCACCTGGGCTGTGCATTCAGCATAAGTGTTCCAACTGGAAGGAAGGTTTCGGTCTCCCAGTAACCAGCCACAGGATGAGAGATGATAGCCTCAAGTTGTGCTGGGGCGTTTCGGGTTGGATATCAAGAGAAATTTCTTCTCCAGAAGAGCGGCTGGGCATTGGAACAGGCTGCCCAAGGAGGTGGTTGAGTCACCATCCCTGTTGGTTGATTGCTCTTTGTGTTTGATGCCACGCGGGTGGTATTCAATAGGGCAATTTAAATAACTTGTCTCCCTAGAGATCTGGTGCTCAGTACCATGATGGGGACAAGGGACACGTGGCTGGCCCCTTCCCAGCGCCCAGCACTGCTTCTCTTGGACATGGATCCTACCTACCACGGTGGTTTCCTGCCCCACAGCCTCAGATTTTTTGCCATGATCTCTTTGCAAGGTCAGATCAGAAATACCATTTCCAGCAGCCTATTGGGATACTTCAAAGATGAAACAGTCCTGCAAAAAGAATTGTTTTTGTTGACACTTGTCTTGGAATTGTTTGCATTTTCAGTGACAAAGCAAACATCAGCAAGTGCAAAGCACAGATGAAAACCCCAAGGTTTGGTACAAAAGGAAATTTTACACAAAAGTGTCTATTTTGTTGATGAAGTTATTTTTAGCTGAAAAAATATTTTAAGGGAATTTTGGATCAACTCAAGTAATATTATGCTCTTGCTAATGTTTTCCATTTGAGGTTCTCATGATGCATTACAAACAGGGATTAAGGTTCCCAGCACCATGTGAAGTGAGCTTCCTTTTGAAGCAGAGCTGTGCTTTTCAGTTTTAACGTAGTGTGTCCCCAAAATCCTCTATGGGGAGACTGCTTTTCAAGCTTAGACATTAAGAATGTCTTTCCACCTTTTACCAAAGTGCTTTCTTTTGGATATGGGATTCAGTATATGTTGAGATTGTATATATGTATGTATACAGAAAAGACCACAAGATACACAGCTTGGGACACCAGTGAGTGTCCCAACACTGTGTTTGAGTATTTCTTATAACCATGTTTCTGAGGATGCCCAAGCAGCCAGAATGGTCTCGTGCAGCACTGGTGCCCCATCAGAGCATTACTGCAGGCTGATGGTGACACCCTCCAAAGATAGGAGCTGAGACTGCTATAAGATCAGTTATTTGGGATTTTGTATGGATTCCCTTTTCAGAGCCCATATTCTCAGCGCAGCCCTCCCTGTATGCTGTATCTGGGTGTGTAGTCCAGGTTTTTGTGCCATGGCTCCTTGGGCTGCACGGGCAGCAGGTTATGCACACAAATAATTACATCCTGACTGCAGCCCAGGAGATTGCTTGGAGAGCCTCTGTTAACTACTGTTCCAAAAGGTGTGCTGGGAGATACCAGCATGTCCCTTAGCATGGATGGGTACAACTTTGATACCGTTTATGAGGGATTTTAGCTCTGCTTGGCTGGGAGAGGGCTGCTGCAGGACTCCTTTGGGGAGCATTTGGGAGATCATGGTGGGGTATGAAGTGCTGGAGGAGCTGTTGGAGGCCTGTATGGTGCTGGCCCTGTGTCAGAGCCCCCAGTTGGAGCTGGGTGTCCCCCGGTGCCAGCAGCCAGATGTGGGTACCAGCTGGTGGCAGCTGGCAGTGAGCAGGGCTCGGCGGCGACAGAAGCTCTCCATAATCCCAGAGCTGTTTATTGCCCAGTGCCAGCAGTGCTGCTCCTTTTTCTCACCACAGCCAGAACTACAAACATCACAGCAGCTCAGAAATGAGACGTGCATCACATCTTTTCAGGGCTTTGCCACAAAGGGCTGCACCTCTTTTGTGTGTTCTGGCATCGGTGGTGTTGAAAAACATATAAAAAGCTTATAAGTTTTTAGTGTGTTCTGTGACAGGTGAGGAAATTGTATTTTCAGGAATTTCAAATGAAAATACAGCAAATCTTTATCTTTGTTAGCACTTACAGGATAGTGACTGCCGAGTTTTCAAGGGGCACAGGCAGGTCAGCGATGGCAGAGCAGTGTGTTGCTGTGTACTGCACACAGTGCTCCATATCTTGGCAAACAGGGCTTTGATTCATGCAGTACCTTGCTCTAACCAATGCTCAGACTCTGTTTTCACTCCTTAGCAGCTAGTTTATAGTAGGAAAAGATCAGCATCCAGTGCTGGTTTTATGTGTCAGCTGCCTTTGCTCTGGCATTACTTTTGCTTTAAAAGTTTTTCATGGGCCTAGTGTGTTTTTGGGTGGCTTAAAATAAAAATAACAATTTACAAATGCTCCTTTTGGCCCAGCCTGGAGTCCAACGCATTGCTTCACCCTGTTTGCTGCTCACGTTTCTGATTTCAGTGGGCCAACCCCAATACGTGCACTGGCTTCCCTGCATTGCACCCAGGTGTGAGAACGTGACTTTGTCCCTGGTTGTTATTTGTGCTTCTTCCATTACTGTTTGCTGCTAGCACTTCCTCTGCACATGGAAACTGATCATTTGCTTTTCTTTTTTTTCTTTTTTTTCTTTTTTTTTCTTTTTTTTTTCTTTTTTTTCTTTTTTGTATTTTTTATGCCCCTTCCCAATTCTGCTGAGTTTACACTTCTGGTATTCATGGCTGGCACACTCCAGCAGCTCTGGCAATCTCTTCTGCTCCCGCATTCGTTCTGCTCAGGCAGGCTCCCTCCCTGCCATGCTGGGGCTTTCTTCCTGCATTTCAGAAATGCCATTTCCTCACTGGATTTTAAGCTCCCTGAAGTAGGGTCCCTCCTGCACCCCCATCCACCCAGAGAACCCTGGCCATAATGGGTAACACTGTGGTGTGAGAACAGTTGGAGAGCAGGACAGACTCTTCAGCAGGGTCTGTTGTGGTAGGACAAGGGGAAATGATCTCAAAATAAAAGAGGGGAGATTTAGACTGGTTATAAGGAAGAAGGTCTTTATGCCACAGGTGGTGTGGAGTGGCACAGGGTGCCCAGAGAGGTGGCAGTGCCCCATCCCTGCAGACACCCACAGTCAGGGTGGATGGGGCTCTGAGCACTGATGGAGCTTTGGCTGTCCTTGCTCAGTGCAGGGAGTGGGACCAGACAGCACTCAGAGGTCCTCTTCAACTCAAGCCATTCTGTGATTTTATAAGCAAGGCATCCAGTGTGTAATCCTTAAGAACCTTTCTAGCCCAAGCCATTCAATTGTTTTTTAATTTCAACTCCTTAGCAGCATTGAGTTGAGCACTGGATGTGCAGATTCTCAGTGCCTTTTTGGTGGTGTAATTTCATCTGAGTTGCAAGCAGCGACCTTAAATTTGAGCCATAATGGTAATACTTGTGAAGAAGAGAGAATTCCAGAGCTCTTGGGCTATGGAAGGGTCCAAAGCTGCGCTGGGTGGTGTGGGGCTGTCACTGCAAACCTTAATGCTGCTCATGCCCACCTCCAGCCATCGCCACTCCACTCCTTTCAGTAGCTGCTTTCCTCCCAGTTCCCCCTCCACTCTAAGGGGAATTTTGAGACTTAATTATTTTCATTCCCTGCTAGACTAAATAATTAGGGGAAGGGACTGTTTTCCATAAGAACATTACGCTCCATACTCCGCGGAGTTTATTCTGTTAATGGAAACTCTACACCTTAAATAGCCAAGGGACTTTCAAAATGAGTTAATGCCTTCGAAATGAAATTTCTGAGACCAAAGTTTGTAGGTTTCTTTACAACTCTAGAAATTATAGTATTTTTTCAAGTGTGATAAACTTAAAATGAGAAACAGGTGACTGATTAAAAATGAGGGCATTGTTGAGCACCCGGCCTAGCTGAGTGTGAAGCTTTACTTCAAGCAAAGTGATGTTTGTGGAATGTAGATTTACAAAATATTATTGTGCAGCGGATAGTTCATAAAACACCCGCCGTCATAAATCTGAATGGTGGGGCTTTGGCTGAGAAATTAATAAGTGTTTAACGCACCGTCATGGAAACAGCCTGCAACAACGAGAGAAAACAAAAACGGGGCTTTGCCTACAGGGGGAGGAAAAAAAATATCGATTTTATTTTGGACCTGAAGTGTTCAGTGTCTCTGATATTAAATCATGTTCACTTAAGGACTTTTATTCCAATTATAGTCACGCTCTGTTGGAAGAGCCCCAGCATGCAGCCGAAGCCCTGGATTTGTCGCAGCGGTGTTATTTATGGTGGCAGTGCTTCCAATTTGATGCTACCTGACTGGGAAGGGCTGTGCCCTCAAATATCTATTTACAGCCCTGATGAGCACAGAAGAGAATCAGAAATTACGCAAACCAGCAGCTGCTCCCTTGGGTGCAGGAAAAGAGACCTCCCCAAAACCTTGGGGAGAGGATGGCGTGGGAGGAGGAAGGCTCTGCGCTCAGCCCTGGGGTGGTCGAGTTGGTTTTAGGAACACTATGGAAGTCATGGTGCTTTTTTAGAGTAAAAGACCAAAAAGTGTGTGTTTTTTTAAATAGGACAAACAAACAGAAGTCCATCCCAACAGGGGCAACAGTCATCCTGTAACTAATGAGTGTGGTGCAGCAGGAAGGCAGGAAGCAGAGGATTAAGGGAAAGTATGTGTTGTAGGTGTCTTCTGCAAGGAAAAGATGTTTTTTGTACGTTTCCCATGAAAAGCCGTTTACCAGCGATGAGACCTGTCCTGGGAAGTGATGCAGTTCTCAGGGGTGAAAGAGTCCCAGCATGTTCTTTTGGCTGTCTCGTTGGGTTTTATTGCAGCTCCCTACATATGGGGACAATGTTAACAGAGCCACCTCCATGGTGGGGCTGATCTGCTCCATCCTTGCACCTGCAGAGACTGTGTGCTGGCCCCATGTCCAGGGGAATCCAGGCAGTGCCTAAGCCTGGTAGATACCCACGTTCCTTTCCCACTAGGTTTGCTTTGCTAAGAATCATAGAACAGAATCATAGAAACACTAAGGTTGGAAGAGACCTCTGAGATCAAGTCCAGCCATTAACCCATCCCCACCGTGCCCACCAGAGCGTGTCCCTATCACATCATGTTCTAATTTGTCAGATGGAGGCAAAACAAGACATTTTGCCCTCTCCCAAGAGTTTTGAGGATGAGATGCTCCAGCTCAAGGGCCAGACCTTTCAGGAACCTGAGAGAAAGAGAAGTCAGCGACATGGAAAAACAACCCATAAAACAGCCCTTACACTGCAAGCGGTTCGTGGGCTGAGTTGAATTTATGATCGCTGCTGCTCATGGGGCTAGAACAAGCAGGAGAGCCAGTGATGGAGGCTCTGCTGCTTTAATGAATTTGTACTTTCCACTGCCACTTGCTCACTGATTTACAGTGAAGTGGGGAACCTTGAGATAAAAAAAAAAACAACACATCGAAAGGACGCCTCGTGTTTTGGTTTCTTTCTTCCCTCTCCCACCCCTGCTTGCCCTGTCAGGCCATTAATTCTAACAGAAAACACCGGCTCTGGTTTTTTCCCTCGAACCCCTCAGCTGTTGCAGGGAGACAGCTGCACCCTCTGGAACTAATTACAGCTGTCTGGGAGATTTAGCCCTCCCTCGCAACAACTCCAATATTGCTGCTAATTTTTAACACGTACAGTTGGAAGATGTCATAATAGGCTGATATATGATCGAATCTTAAAAGTGCTGCAGCGCAGCTGCTACCAGGCATCTGCTGGGATGAATATATTGATTTAAAAAATAATGCAAAGTATTTTTAGCCTCTCTGCCCTTCCCGGGGCTGAAGCCCTGCCTGGTGTGGGCAGCGATGGAGGGCACGTGCTCACCCAGGAGGCAATGGCACGGGGGCACGTGTGGCTGCTTCACTTCTGCAGTGGAGCTGGCAATGGGATGCTCTTTTCCCTTGTCTTGCATCCTACTGTTGTCATAGCAGAGTGGGTTTTCAGTCTCCTGGAGGAGGAGTGTCTGGTTTGCTTTATTATGACCATATCACGCTTTTCATGGGATGATTTTGCTCTGGTGTCTCCTATTGGACCTCATCTGGGCTCGCCTGGATGCCTCCTCCATGTAGCTGCTGCCACTGCTTCCCAGCAGGTCAGAGAGAGCTCGAGTTGTGTTCACTTGGTAAATCCTGGGAAAGTGCTTGCAGCGAGGAATGGCCTCCCTGACCTTCCTGACTGCCTCTGAAACATGAGCACTGCTCATCCCTCTGGTATGAGCAGAGGGCATCAGTCTCCTTTTAACAAAGATGAAATCAAGCAGCTTCCTCATAAACTTCTTGAAGATGTTTCCCTTGAGCAGCAAGGCTCTGCAAGCTGGCACTGTCCTGCACTCACAGGAGCCTCGGGGACCTTTGGATTCCTTCCACTACCCCAAAAGGTCTTTGCATGAGCCCCAAAGTTGCGGGGGGGGAAAAAAAAGCAAAGCAAAAAAAACAACATTTTTTGTAAGGCAAGCTGCAGCCCATAGCAGTTCTTCATTCTGTGTGCATGGGGTTTGTATGGGTTACAGCTGTGCAGGTCACCAGGTGATGTTTGCAAACTGCGAGCCCTGGCTTGGTGGGTCCCTGGTGTTCTTGCTCCCTGCATTAGGGAGGAGGGAACATAGAGACTGCAAACTGAAACTTCGGAAACGAGGCACCCAGGTAGCTTATAAATAGTGGGGGAGCTTGTAAACTCTATGAGCCCTGAAACAAGGGGCTCCAGTGGGTATTAAATGCCGCAGTTTTTACATCAGTGAGCCTCAGGAGTCAAGACTGATGATGGTTACAAGCTTTCTGTGTTTCTCCCCTACCCCAGGAAGGCACAGGAAGGACGGGCAGTGGATGCTCTGCCTTGATGTCCTGGTGTTTTGTGCTCAGAGGTTTTCTGCTGCAGTTTCTCAGCTTTCACAGGCTGTGAGCAGCTCAGGATTTACTGTGCATCCTGATGCAGGTGGGATATGGTGGGACAAATGGGCTGTTTGGTTTGGGGCTGGGGCTCACGGGGACCTCTCAGGTTTGTTTGGACTCTGAACATAAGGGCTGGAAACATGCTCAGATAGAAAGGCAAACTTTCTGCCACAAAAATGCAGCTTCAGTTGTGTGTGGTTGCTTTAATGCTCACACGGTTCTAGTTTTACATGCCGATCCCTTTGATAGCAAACATTTTAATAGACAGAGAACATATGGGAAAAATCATACCAAATCAGATGATAGATATTGCTTAATTTGGGCAGGCAAGCCCATTCAGGAGGGGCAAGGAGATTTTCATTCCAGAAGGGTCCTGGGTGGACCTTGGTGTAGGGGAAGGTACTTTAGGGTCCAAGCAGTACTGGGGTGTCTGAGCCCTGCCCAGGGCGCTCAGACAAAGCCCTCAGTCTTCCACACTCTGCATCCCCAGCAAGAAAAAGGGAACATAGTTGCCTCTATTTGGTGCTATTTGCCAGTTTTTTAGAGGAGCAGTCTGAGTGGTTTGCTTCCTGGAATGATGATAGCTCAGGATTAGAGCAGCTGCTTTTGCCCTTCTCTAGGCAGCCAGTGATGGTAGAATGAAGGTTTGGGGATGGTAGATGTGTTTCGTGAATTCAAGCAAGCAACCAAGCATCACAGCTGTTAAACCTCCTATCTGTCTCAGACAGGAGCCTGCAGGCTAACTGAGCCTGCATAAACCTTCCTGCTCTAATTATTAACAGGAAATTTTGTGCTCCTGAGAAGCAAACACTGTGGGAGTAACACTTCAGCCTCCATTTGACTTTTAGCAGCCTCAGAAAAAAAGGTGTAGAAACAGCCATAGCAGTAACAGAGTGGACAGCGGCAGGATCCCTGAACCAGGGGTGCCATGGGGCACACCTTCACCACTGTCATCCCTTGTCACCCAGCCCCTATCAGTTGTTGGGTGAGGGCTGTTCTGTGCAGCTCCAAATGCGCTGCTCTGGGCTACTTTGGGTCACTCCTTTTTGCCTGCACGAGGGTGAAACTTGGAGGTGTTTGCTCTGCTTTTGGCACAGCCAGGGGACGATCCATCAGCAGCAAGTGGTGAACAGCTGCATGCTAATATGTTTTGTTAGCAGAATCATTTCTGTATTGCTCATCTGGGTGCCAATCAAGGTTTAAATTGAGATGTCAAGATGTGATTACGGCAGACCTTTTAATTGGTCTGTAGTTTTATCAGCCGTCTGCAATCTCTCCTGCTTCCCATGTGAGTGTGTTACACAGGTGAGTGCTAATGGCCAATGTACAGGAGTCGTCCCTAATTATTTTAGCAGTAGGAGCTGACTTTATGGCGTCCCGAGGTGCAGCCCGGGAGCCAGCAGCTGCGTGAGCGCAGTGCCCTGCTCAGTAGCAGGGTTTGTATTTTAGTAGTGAAGCAAAGCGGGTTTAAATGAGCACTGACATGACTTTGACATTTTTATATTGTGGGTTATTTTATGAACTTATCCAGTGAATGCGGCGATGCACTCTGCAAACAGGGACCCCGATGCTGAAGGACTGGGGTGTTACTCCTTCCCTTGTCAGCATGCCCTACATCAAGCGGGACACAGCTCCTGCACCAAGCGGCATGGTTAGCCTCCAAACGTGTTTTGCGAGGCTGATGAATGCTTCTTTCTGCACTGCTTTAAAATCTCCTTTTCTGTCAACTCCCAGGGCGGCCAGAAAACAGATGCGCTCAGAGCTCTGCTAATAAGCAGTGGAGCAAAGGGAGCAGCCGTTCGCTGGGGCAGAGGGACATGGGGAGTGTGCGTGCCACAGGTTTCCCAGCAGAAATACTTCATAGGTGCTTTCGGGAAAGAAAAAGAAATGGTATTGGTGTTTTATTATTATTATTATTCTTTCAACTTGGTCATAGAAAGGGGTGTGGAGCAATAGTGTGGTGCTGGATTATGCACACAGTGATGGTGTGCGAAGGCTTTCCTTCCCCATGCATCATCCTCAAATAGCATTCCAGGGAGCCAGCACGGTCAGCACTGGCATCACTGATGGTGGTAGCAGGGAAGTTACATAAATGCAGATCCAATCCATCACCCACAGCTCTGGTGCCCAGCCCCTCCTACCACCCTCTGCTTTGTTTCCCTGCAGGTGGATCCGAGGGGAACATTTCAAGTACAAATTCAGCCAGCCTGGAGGAACGCATGCTGCACAGGGCAAATGGTGGATTCGGAAGAGGATCGGCCCCTACTTCCCCCCTGTCAACCTCCAGGGGCTGAGGAAGTTTTATGAAGACAGAAATTGGCCGTACCCAGAGCGGGACTGATGGAGGGAAGTGAGACAGGTCCAGAGTGACCAGCTGGGAGAGCCGTCAGCTCCCTTATAAATCACACTTCTTCCCTATCTCTGTGTTTTTTTTTTTTCACATATCCTTGTTTACACATATTTTACAGGAGGTTTCCAGACAACCTGTCCACCTGCTGCTGTGGTCTGGTTTTTCTCATCTTTCTCTTCCTTTCTGTTTGTCTTTCTTCTCGTGGCCTTGCCTGATGATTGATTTCTTTTGTCAGGCTGCTCCATTAGAAAATCATCAGCTCTAGAGTCAGGAAAAAGATGAACAAATACTAAGTCAAGTTAATATGTCCAATTTGACACATTTCAGATTTGCAACAAGCATTTGTGAAGTGGATTTTAATACTTCTGCTGATGCTGGAATTTCACTTTATTGCCAGACAGACCCAAAATGGACAAAAATTATCAAATGTATGTTAGGGGGAAAGGTTAGGTAAAAGTAAAGCCTCCCTCCCCTTTCTCAGTGCTGTCTACTTTACAAAAAGCTCTCAGGGCCACACTCAAGACTCATACAGATGTAAATCTGTGCATTTTAAGACACTTGTTGCACTGATGGCGATTTCAGTGTGAATGTAGACAGTGAAGCTGTGAGAGGAGTGGTTCCCTTTTCAATGCACCTCGCTTAGAGGAGGCACTGGGCTGGCACAGGGCGCTTCACCATCACATCCCCCTCATCCTACCCTGTCCCCTCCCTGTCCCATCTTAATCCATGCTCATTCCCATATCCCATCCCATTTCAAACCATCCAGTTGCAGTTTCCACATGTGCTGTTGGCACAGAGCTCACACCAGCCTCAGGCAATTCACTGAGCCATTGAAGCTGCTTTCTTCCAGACATTCCTGTCCTTGGGAAGGTCCTGCTCAGCACCCCCTGATCACAAGGCAGCAGTCTGCATCTGGAGCCACAGATTCTGCAGCACAGAGGGAACCGTCCCTGGGCTCAGAGAATCCTGTGTGGGACAGATGGGGCAGATGGAGCGATCCCGCGTTCCCCATTCTTTGCTCCTGAGCGTGCCCTCCTCCTGCTTTGTGTTTAACGGCACCCCCAGTGGTTTGACCATGTGGGTGCAACTCGGTGAGCCCACACCAGGGACATGGGGGGAAGACGGGAAGGAGCAGAGCGTGAACAGCTGGAAGCGACGGGTTGTGGCAATAATTGCTTTCTTGTTAGCACATTTTGCTGCAGACACTTCTTCTCAAAGGGGGGAAAAAAAAAGTTCAAAGTGACGTGTGCAACGCATAAAATCTCTAGCCCTGGGATTGCCTGCAGAAAAACCGCAGGTCTGCTGAGAAACCCGAAATAGCTCCGTGCTGTGTGGGCTCCGTGAGTCAGCGGCTGTGCCCCGGGACAAGCACAGCCCTGTGCAGCCCGCAGCGCCCGGCCGGGCCCAGGCTGGCTGTGAGACAGGGCCTGCTTTTAGGAGCGGCTGGAGTCGCTGAGTCTGCCGCCAGCACGGCCGCGCTCAAACGGGTTTTGTTTGAGTAGGTCCCAGCCTGGCAGCGTGGCCGCGCTGGGCTGCTTTTCCTGTTTGCTTAGCCCGGGGCTTCATAACGGGCCCTTTCTCTCGTTCTGGGCGCTGACGGAGCTCGGGACCCGGCTGTGTTGTGCTCGGGGAGCAGCCTGTGGCCTGCATGGCCTGTGTGCCTGGAGCTGCACAGCCTGTGCCTTTGGGTCGGGGTTGTGGCAGGACACAAAGAGGCTTTCAGCCACCCGGCTGGGGTCAGCGCAAGCCACGGGCGCAGGGATGAGCGTGGCTCTGAAATAGATCGGCGCTCATGTGGCCGACATGAAGGCCGTGTGGGGACTGATGGCGGCTTTGTCCCTGCGCTGTCCACGAGCTCATTTGATCCAGTGCAGTCTGTCCCCTCCTGACACAAGAAGCTCAGCATTGTGGCCGAGTGCAGTTTGGAAGGAAAAACATCAGAAAAGAAACGTGCAAGCAAGCCTGACCCACATACCAGGACAGGGCAGGGGGGTGGCTGCACAGGTTGTGGCTGCAGGCTCACTGCATCATGCCTTTCTACCCACTTTTGGACCACGTGTACTGAACGGGCACTACCCAGCACATAGATCTGAAAAAGGCTTGAAGAAAGCAGCACAGGGAACCTCACTCATCTTTACTTTTTACCTAACAGTGTTAAAAACTGAAGCAGCGTCTTGTGGTGTCCAGACATGCCTTGCTGAGCCCCAGAACCAACAGTGACTGAAATGGTGACGCTAAGGACAGCTTATGCTGTGGGGACACCGCGTGCTCCCACCTACCCTTGTCACCAAGGGGAGCACAACACTGCAGCAGGTTCCACCCCACCCAGCAGTCCCTTGCAGCTGGCACTGGTCAGGGTTATGACTGTGGAGGTGCACAGCCCATTGCCCAGTGCTTGGAGCCATGGATAGCACTTTCCAAACGGTAAATAATGTTTATGACTCAGTTGTGTTTTCCTAAATATTTGCCCCAGTTCAAACCTGATATTCCTCTGCAAACAATAGGGAGAACGTTTTGTTTGGATTACTGTGCAGAAAGACAGGTAAGTGCTGAGATGCTGTGTCACTCTCAGTGTCACACCCCCTCCCCCCCCCCACCACACCAACAGGGCCGAGGGCAGTGATGCGCACTGCGTTTGCTGAGGTCAGGGTGACGGAGGATGTTTCGCATCTCTCAGTGCCTGCTGTAGCTAATGGCCCTCCAGAAAGCACTGAGTTTTTTGCCTGGGGACTGCCAGCACAGCAGAGCTTCCTGCGGAGCATCCCTGTGCCCTGTGGAAGCACAGGAGCTGCCTGCACTACCTCCCTGCCAGGTGTTATTTGAAGCATTTCACCTTTTGTTTTCCTAGCTCTCACATGGCTTAATTTCAGCACAGGGGCTGGATGCTCAGGGAATGGCTGGAGATCATCCTATCTTGGGGGCTTCGAGCAGCCCATGGCCACTGTGTTCGTGGCAGTATTTTGGGGACATGAGGACACCTGGAGCCCACAGTGGCTACACTGGCATCAAGCCTGATCTATGCCTATCTCTGGCCATTGGAGATTCCCTTGACATGGCTGCAGCCACCGGTGCTCCCTCCTCATTCATTCCACCCAAAGCTTCCTTTTTTCTAAAAGCCCCTTACTGCCCCAGCCCTGCTGGCTGCTTCCCCTCCATGCTGGCCCTAATGCAAACAAGCTGCATGAGCAGGGTCGGTCCGTCCGGTGAGTGACGGTGCGAGGGCGCAGGGACGCGGCAGCTCTGCACTGCAGCCACTCGCCGGCAGCACGCAGGGTGCCCCCCGCCCCGCTTTAATTAATTTCTTTTGGTTTCCAACCTCTGGGTCAGGGATAATGGAACCCAGACCGTCATTTACATTCCTGTTTGCTGTGCATTGTGCTGTTTAAAGGTTGCTTTTTTTTTTTTTTTTTTTTTTTTTTTTTTTTTAAATCTAAAATTCTTGCTCCACGCTGCAGTGCTGGCTGGAAGATAATATACATTCAAAGGCAGCGAGGAAGGTGGATGCAGGGGATTAAATTAGAAACGTTTCCCTTTGGACAGAACTTTTTAAAAAAGAAAAGAAACAATTATTTTGTGGGGGTTAGGAAATCGGAACCACATTGTGTTATCTGTTGACTGGAAGTTTTCTTGGAGAGGTTTTTACTTTCCTTGAGCTATGTGCTGGACATAAAGCTTTGTGGCATTCCCACATCAGCACACCATAAATCCGTCTTGAGAGATAATTCTGAGCCCGCTGCTGCCAGGTCCTTTGGGTGCTGCTGGGGATGGGCAGGGGTCTGCAACCTCATGGCCCCAGGATTAGGATCTGGACAATAATATGTGGCAGCTCCTGGCTGCCCCCACAGCTCTTTTGGCTTTGCTGTGCTCTTCTCGCTCATTCCCTGATTTGGGGTTACATCTAATCCCATTCCTCCCTCCTGTTCCTTCTTGAGGTCCCACTAGAGCCGTTGGTGCAGCTGCTGCATGCCTGTCACATCCTGGCATTCTGGGGCTCCCGCTGCCCCAGTGGATAAATCATTCCCTGTGCAATTTGGGAAAACCCAGCAGTGGGGCTTTGAGCATGAGCTGAAGGTGTCCAAGGGAGGGGGATGTGGGAGGATGGATCAGGCTGTTTGGGGTCCCCGAAGGAAAGGAGCACTTTGGTTGTGTTATAGCCATATGAAGCTTTGGCTCAGGCTCTGTTGAATACAAAGCTGCAAGAGCTCTCACATCATTGCAGATCCCCTCCTGTCTCCAGGCCCTCCAGGAGAGCTGTCTTCTGGAGGTGAGATGGAAACCTGTGCCGTGTGTTAACACGCAGCGCTCGCCCTCCCACGGGAATTTCAGACAGCTGGAAAGTCTTTAATGATGGATTTATAGTTTGAAGTTCTGTCTCCAAACATAAGAAAGGTCGCTTTGGAGGACAGCTGAGCTCTCTGCCGAGATTAGCAGCACAAGGTAACGCTGAGCACCAGCGCTTTGTGCAGGGGCAGCCCCGTGCTACCTGCACTGACAGCTCCGTGCTCCAAACAGAGCTCATGTTCCTCCTTCATGTATAACTTGTGGTTATTTGCTTTAAAGCAGCCAAGCTGCAGTCTTTGAGATCCCACAGAAAATCTATCGGCACACCTCCCCTGCTCCAATCTGCCTTTAGAAGCTGGCTTTGCTTTAACACATTTTAAAGGAAAGAGCTTTTTTCCTTCCCAGTAGATTAAGTTTGGCTAAACAATTCAGTGTGAACTGCTGGGCATGAGGCAGAAACCTGTAGGCTAAATTACCCAGCTGCTATAAGTTTAGAGCAGCATGGGATGAATTTCAGGATCGTATATTAGTTTTCATTTAATCTGATTATTCTGGGTCTGGAGTTCCTGGAGGGTCTTCAGGTTATTGTCAGTCAAAAGGATCTTTAAAAGCTTCCATTTGCACTAAACTTTTCCCATTAGAAATCTATTTTCATTATGGATCAATTTTTATTTTAGTGAAAAAATTATTTCTCCACCTCCCCACCCCCCCTTACTTTTCCAGACGAGATTAAAAATGAAGCAGGGAGGGTTTCTTTGTGCCTTCTGTCAGTCGGGGGCTGGGAGGG